GGGGGGAGTCTTATTTCTGTTCTGTCCAACATCTACCCTCCCGGGGCAGTGCTACTGACTGTAGTGTCTTTAGGCCATTCCCAAAGGGGGGACATTTCTCGTTCAAGCACAGTAGAATTGTAAATGGGCTGATTCATGTCACGCTCATAACTGTGCCTGATCTACAACAGGGAACTGCTGCTTTTTCTTTCCTCATCCTTACTATTATCATTTTCCTCTACTTCTTTTGTATGTTTGTCACACTCTTGTGACCTGCTATTTCCAGGGTGCCTTGATAGTGGAAGCAGACTTTGTGCTGTTGAGACTAGAGAGATGAGCAGAGTAAGTCTGATTCCCTGTAAAGACTTCTCTGTTGACACCCACCTCTTGGCACTCTATGACCTTATGCAGTTGGGAGCGCAGTAAAACCCTCTACTATATAAAAAAATAATTTTTAAATAGATGTTGTTTAATAAACACTGAGTAGGTAAAACATAAAACTAGATGACTAATTGGCACACATGATGTGTGTTGAGTGGTGTGTGTGTTGAGTGATGTGTTGTGTGTGTGTTGTGTGAGTGTGTTGTTGTGTGTGTGTTGTGTGTCATGTTTTGTTGATGTGTTCCTCACAGCTACATGAGCACGGTGAAAGACCCCAGCATCCGCAAGGATTTCTCGGGACAATTCCGCAAGCGCAGCGAGAGCCACTCCTCCATGAGGTCAGTTTGTGTCTGAGATGTGTCATGTGTGTCAAGTGTGTGAATGTGTTGAGTGTGTGAAACGTGTGGATGTGTCAAGTGTGTGAATATGTTTACAGTGTCAAGTGTGTGAATGTGTCAACTGTGTGAATGTGTCAAGTGTGTGAATCGTGTGGGTGTGTCAATGTGTCAAGTGTGTGAATGTGTCAAGTGTGTGAATGTGTCTAGTGTGTGAATGTGTCAAGAGTGTCAAATGTGTCAAGTGTGTGAATGTGTCAAGTGTGTGAATGTGTCCTGTGTGTGAATGTGTCAAGTGTGTGAATGTGTCAAGTGTGTGAAAATATCAAAAGTGTGAATGTATCAAGTGTGTGAATGTGTCAAGTGTGTGGATGTGTCAAGTGTGTGAATCGTGTGGATGTGTCAAGTGTGTCAAGTTTGTGAATGTGTCAAGTGTGTGAATGTGTCAAGTGTGTCAAGTTTGTGAATGTGTCAAGTGTGTGAATGTGTCAAGTGTGTGAATCGTGTGGATGTGTCAAGTGTGTCAAGGTTATGAATATGTCAGGTGTGTGAATTTGTCAAGTGTGTGAGTGTGTCAAATGTGTGAATGTGTCAAGTGTGTGAATCGTGTGGGTGTGTCAAATGTGTCAAGTGTGTGAATGTGTCAAGTGTGTGAATGTGTCTAGTGTGTGAATGTGTCAAGCGTGTCAAGTGTGTGAATGTGTCCAGTGTGTGAATGTGTCAAGTGTGTGAAAATGTCAAAAGTGTGAATGTGTCAAGAGTGTCAAGTGTGTGAATGTGTCGAGTGTGTGGATGTGTCAAGTGTGTGAATCGTGTGGATGTGTCAAGTGTGTCAAGTTTGTGAATGTGTCAAGTGTGTGGATGTGTCAAGTGTGTGAATTGTGTGGATGTGTCAAGTGTGTGAATGTGTCAAATGTGTGAATGTGTGAATCGTCTGGATATGTCTAGTGTGTGAATGTGTCAAGTGTGTAAATGTGTCAAGAGTGTCAAATGTGTCAAGAGTGTCAAATGTGTCAAGTGTGTGAATATGTCAAGGGTGTCAATGTGTCAAGAGTGTCAATTGTTCACGAGTGTCAAGTGTGTGAATGTGTCAAGAGTATCAAATGTGTCAAGTGTGTTACTGTGTCGAGTGTGTGAATGTGTCAAGTGTGTGAATCGTGTGGATGTGTCAAGTGTGTCAAGTTTATGAATATGTGAGGTGTGTGAATTTGTCAAATGTGTGAGTGTGTCAAGTGTGTGAATGTGTCAAGTGTGTGAATCATGTGGATGTGTCAAGTGTGTGAATGTGTCAAGTGTGTGAATGTGTCAAGAGATGTGTCAAGTGTGTGAATGTGTCGAGTGTGTGAATGTGTCCAGAGATGTGTCACGTGTGAATGTGTCAAGTGTGTGGATGTGTCAAGTGTGTGAATCGTGTGGATGTGTCAAGTGTGTGAATGTGTCAAGTGTGTGAATTGTGTGGATGTGTCAAGTGTGTGAATGTGTCAAGTGTGTGAATCGTGTGGATGTGTCAAGTGTGTGGATGTGTCAAGTGTGTGGATGTGTCAAGAGTGTGTGTCAAGTGTGTGAATGTGTCGAGTGTGTGAATGTGTCAAGTGTGTCAAATGTGTCAAGTGTTTTAATGGGTGGTTGGCGGGTGCTCTGGTGTGGTTCACTCCTTCTCCCTGTCAAACATCTATCGTCCTTATCTCCCCTCCTTTTTTGTGTTTGTTACTCTCTTGTAACACCTCTATTCTCCGGCTTTTATACGACCTTATTGTGTTGCAAGTGCCGTAAAACTTTTACTAAAACTAACAGTAATCACTGTGTGTGTCCATGTGTATGTAGGTGCGTTTGTCTCACAGTAATCATTGTGTCTGTCCCATGTATATGTTTTTGTCACAGTAATCACTGTGTGTGTCCCATGTGTGTGTCACAGTAATCACTGTGTGTCCCATGTATGTGTCACAGTAATCACTGTGTGTGTCCTATGTATGTGTCACAGTAATCACTGTGTGTGTCCCATGTATGTGTCACAGTAATCACTGTGTGTGTCCCATGTGTGTGTCACAGTAATCACTGTGTGTGTCCCATGTATGTGTCACAGTAATCACTGTGTGTGTCCCATGTATGTGTCACAGTAATCACTGTGTGTGTCCCATGTATGTGTCACAGTAATCACTGTGTGTGTCCCATGTATGTGTCACCGTAATCACTGTGTGTGTCCCATGTGTGTGTCACAGTAATCACTGTGTGTGTCCCATGTATGTGTGTGTGTGTCACAGTAATCACTGTGTGTGTCCTATGTACATGTGTGTGTCACAGTAATCACTGTGTCTGTCCATGTGTGTGTGTGTCACAGTAATCACTGTGTCTGTCCATGTGTGTGTGTGTCACAGTAATCACTGTGTCTGTCCCATGTGTATGTGTGTATGTGTGTGTGTGTGTGTGTATGTGTGTGTGACAAGGTCTCACAACTGTGTCTGTCCCATGTTTCAGCCCCGGAGGTCAGCGTCCCGTGAAGACAGAGCCCCGGCCCGTGTCCTACTACCCACCGTCCACCTCTGCCTGGCACTCGCTGGACGCCAACTCTCCCAACAGTCCTAGCTAGTAGGTGTCTGTCTGTCTGTCTGTCTGTCTGTCTGTCTGTCTGTCTGTCTGTCTGTCTGT